CCACACGATGCACTCGACGATACACAAGAGTATAGCTCTCGACTCAGCACAGTCTAAGGCAAAACTCGACGATGCACTAATTCGCGATGCACCGAAAAGACTCTCTCGATGCACTCGACGACCACCTCGGCGCTAGGCTTCGAGACACTCGCTCAATGACTGACTATCAGCTCGCTAGACGAGGCACACACACACGATGAGAGACGCAAACTCTCGATACTACTCTCTCGCCCTCTATGCGAGGCACGCACACTAACTGACTGCGGACCATCAGGGTTTATATATCTTTCGGATTGTGTTCGGGAACATTCTGGGCTAAACCGGTAAGAATTCGTTCCAGAAGGGTCTCCAACCGTCCATGGTATATCGCCAATTTTGTCGCCAAATGTGGCAACCCTTTCTTTCTTCCTATTTTATGGCAACCCTAAAACAGCTTTGAGGGGAAGCCATCTTACCGCGCTTGTACATTACGTAACAATATGGTTAAAAGATGATGTCCAAGGCTGCTAGTCCTCTAACTAGCTTTGTTCGTTGCTTCGTAGCTTCCTTCGTTGGCTGGCGTCGAGCATTTTAAAATACCTACAGGTCACATGATTTACACCGTTGAAACATTTATGTGCCATCTAAATATGCTAAGGATATTTTGGATGCTTCACTAGTTTGTAATTTGCAAGACAATAAAGCCTTTTGTAGTATCGGAAGAGGTATTTTATCCTATTGATCTCGAACAATATCACAAGTCCAAGGAGTCCAATTTCCAAAGTCCAAGGAGGTTTAGGTCGAGGTTTGGACAACCTGCCTTTTAAAAGTCTAAAAGCGCAAAACTACATTGTTGACAGATCAGGAGATTTAGTAGGGATATGACTGAAGGGTATAATCTGAATACCCGTTTCTTGTTCTATTTTTTCTAGGAAATTAACAGTGGATTTTGATGTGTGGCTGCTTACTCTATCTCGATGAAGTTCTCCTGATCAATGGCACTGTGGGTAATGAGAAATTATTTCGGTACTTTTCCATTTTGCCGGCGCAGGCGATAAAGTCGCCAAAAATGGTACAACCGATGCCAAACGAAATATCCTCTCTAGTAACCTTTTACGCCTCATTTTCAAAACAAGTCGCAGCCATTTCTTATCAGATTGATTGTTTCTTTCAATACTGGCATACTATTACATAGAATTTTTACAAGATGGTTCAGTTTAATACCCTAAGGCCATTCGCGGTCATTAAGTCAATTAGGATGCAATCACACCGCTCACTCGAAAGCTAAAATATAGCAAAGGTTAAATTCATCCATTCTAATGAGAATGCACTAGCGAAATAAAGCACTGCTATTTTACATAATTTCTAAGTAAGCTATTCGTACGAATTGAAGTAATTCTTGCATTTAAACTTGTATTCCAAATTAAAATTTAACTTCAAATTATTGTAGATTTGACATGACAGATTTGTGATTATTATATTTTTTTAGCGTAGTTTACGTGAAATGAGGTCACGTGATACGAAACGACGAATCACACCGCTCACTGTGCTTTACTGTGCTTTCATGTTGTACCATGAACATGAAAGCACAGTAAGTTCTTAAATTAATGTCTTTTTACAAATTTATTGCCTTTATTTATTGTATTTTTACAAAATTTTAAACCATATTACCAAATATGGTACTATTCGGTACTATTCGAGGGCCGTAAAAAAATTGCAGCGAAAATGTATGCGCAAAATCTAGCAAACGCGCTAATTTAACAGCGCGCAAATCTAGCGTACGCGTTGATTTCAGATTGCGAGATTAAGTTTATATAGTTCTATATTAAGACGCCACTGATATACTACTTTAATTTTTAAATCCTTTTTGATTTTAAATCCTTTTTTGATATCCTATGAATTTAACAATTTGAGAATTGCCCATGACGAAAAGTCGGCAATAGAATTTTGGGTAAAGTGCAGAATCACCCACTGCTTGACGCGTTTTTAAGAATTGCACATACTCGGTATCCATGTGCACATCCACCTATTTTCACTTTTTAAAAAAAAAAAAAAAAAAAAAAAAAAAAAAAACCTAGAATTGCACAAAAACGGCACTGCGCACACCCTTGACTTTATCTATGTAAACATCGACCTAGTTTCACTTAAAAAGTAAAAGAAAATTGACAAAAATTCAATTGTTTTACCTTTGTAAAAGGCGGCAAACAAATAAGTGAGCGATTCTGCACTTTACCGAGAATATTTTCAAAGAAAAGGCATCATTCATTATAGAAAATTACGTTTGAACAACCAACGAGATGAAATTATGCTTTAGCGATAAGTCGGTAGCGAAATAGCGATGCAGGCACCCATTCAGTTATGTTTAGCAATTTTCATATAAATTATAATAATGATCTGAAATAGTTGTTTACTCTTATGCTTCCATTCAGTCATGTTTAGCCTTTTTCATATAAATTATAATAATAAAAATGTATTATATGAAATGAACCTTTCATCTAAATTAAAACATCAATCTTAGATAGTTATTTACTATTATACTTCCCTTTCTTGCCTCAATTATTAGGGTTGCCGCAATTATTTTTGGCAGCATTGGCATCAACAATAGTTTGGCGAATATTTACGGCCCTCGAAACCGAATAGTACCTAAAATGCTTATGCCTTCAAAATAGTAATTTCTTAGAACTAACATTTGCTAACATTTATTTCTGTGTATACTCTGTGTTGTCGTCAATAAAGTCTGCTTGGCGAGACTTGCGCCGGCGAAACGGAAAAGTACTGTTATTTCATATTTGGAAACTAGATATAAAATATTTTCCTGATAATATGCGGAGTTAATCTTAAAATTTTTTTCACTCTTCTTAATTTGCTGTTATATGAAAAACCAACAACGATCATAAATCGCTTAGAAAAACTTCCTTTAGAATGTTTGAACCATGTTTTAACATTTTTTTCTCTTCACTAATAATAATAAATGGATTTCTTTTTTTATTGCAGTCCTTTAAATACACCCACGATTCATATATTATGACAACATATTTCCATTTGTGTTCGGATAAATGTTTCGAAAATAAAGAATTCTGCGTTTGGCGATATGTGATAGAGAAAGACAATGCATATTGTGTTTTTCCGTCTTTTTAAAATTCAAGTCAGTATAAATCTCTTTGTTTACAGATGACACTGGATGTTGCCACTGTCCTTTGATCTGGCGGAACTTCTTTTAAAATTAAAGTTCTTACCTTTGCAACATTCGAAACATTTCGATTCTCCTTGGATACGTATTTTTAACAATTTTTCCACCTGAAGCTAAATTTTGACGTTGTTTTTTCCCTTCGTAGTGGCAACATTACCTACCGTAGCTTTGGGTATCGAAAAACCATGGCTTTCACAACATTTCTTAATAACTAGATATGAATAATTTCCTTCGGAAAGAACACTAACTTAGCCTTCCAACCATTGCTTCTTTAAAAGCGAAATTTTACATAAAAACAAAACTGATAAATAGCAGGAGATAATTTATATTTTCAAAAATATAGCTTCAGTCGTATTTTCTTGTTAAAAGCGACCACCTTACTTAGTGGTCAAAGTAAATAAACTTAATCACCTTATTTGTAACATGAAAGGGCTAATCTTTAGAATATAGTAACAGGTAGTTTGGCGACATTTTGGTAAGGCGATAAAGGTTACTAGCTAGGAGTTTAGCAATAATCTGAGAAGGACACAGTTCGAATCACAGATTATTTTCTCTCAGACAAATGAGAGATCATGAGACATGTCATGTGACATTTTCCGGAAAATTCCGATCGTGATTTTAGCTAATAAGCACTTAGAAACAATTTCGAAGCTAAAGTGCAGAATCGCCCACTTATTTGTTTGGCGCTTTTTACAAGAGTAAGAAGAATTGGATTTTTGTCAATTTTCTTTGACTTTTTAAGTGAAAATAGATCGATGTGTACGTGGATAAAGTCAAGAGTGTGCGCAATGCCATTTTTGTGCAATTCTGGGATTTTTTTTTAAGTGAATTTTTTTTAAGTGATACCGTGTATGTGCAATTCTTAAAAACGCGGCAAGCAGTTTGCGATTCTGCACTTTCTCCCAATTTCGCACCTAATCTTCGTCATGATTAAGCATTTTTGTTCCATAAAAGTTCTAGTATAAGCGTAATTCGGCTAGCAGATTGTTCGAAAAATGTTGAGTAAAAAAAAAAAAAAAAAAAAAAAAAAAAAAAAAAAGCCTTTACTTCGTGAAAACAAAATGGCGTCCAAAACAAAACTAATAGGTTGCTGTAGCAGGGTTGGTCGCCAAATTTTCGCCAAAAAATCGCGAAGTTGCCATAATGTAAAGATTCACCCATGAAAGTTTCATATATCGATGAGGATTCTTAAAATTTAAATATTTTAGCTTAAATGAAACTAATCTTTTCTAAAAGCTGTTTCAAAAGGAATCGTACCTTAATGAACTATGTAATGTTTAGACTTTAATTGAATTCAACTATGAAAAAAGTTACTTTACATTTGGTAAGGAACATTAAGCACAAAAATAACAAAAATAATTCAAAATGCAGTAAAACATCGCTCATAAATAACTTGCTTTTATAAATTACTACGACTGACTGTTCAAATTGATGTGAAATTACTCATTTGTGTGTACAACAATGAAAAATGCTGAGTATTTTGATTAGGTTAGGAAATTAAATATAACGATACATATAAATATATTAAAAAGCCTTAAATATATCGTTAATTTAAGAATATTAGTAAATATACTAACCATTTCCTAAACTATGTGCAGTTCATTGTAAATAATTTAATGAATCAATCCGGAATTACTCCAAAATTTAGTTAAAATTTAATTATGTGAAAAAAATACAATATCCAAAACCTCAATTTGTAAATAATTTCCTACAGTTATGAGTAAATAATAAAACAAACCTGGCACATGCGCTGTCGCATGTGCATCTGGAAACGAGAATTTATCAAAAATAATTTGAAGTTTAAAAAAATATATATAACAAGTATGCTTACTAGCGGTCTTCATCTAGTAGCTCATAATACCAATGCACTTCTTAATCGAAGGTTCATATATTGGAAACATTTCGCTAAAAACAAAACAATATGTTTCATTTTATTTTAATCTATGCGAAATCATAAGGTAAGAAATTTATGATAGTATGAAAAAATAAATTTTAAATTTCTAACTTTTATTTATTTCAAAATTTTATTTTAGAAGGAAATTTTAACGAAATGAATTATTATTATCGTTGGCAAATGCAAAATTTTAGGATAACATTTTTAGCAGCATTGATAAATTTATGATCATAAATTGTGTATTATAAATGTAACTAGTTAAATAAGTGTTTGTTTTAAAACTAAAATTAGAATTAAACATCTTTTTTCAAGCATTCAAATACTTAATTAATTAATCAAAACAAACATACAAATATTTAATTATAAATAAATACCAATTGCCTAATCATTTTCATCAAATACAGGCATGTGCAACTCTCGGTATATGTAGCCCAATGATGCAGCTTACGATATAATCTAAAAGATGAGCAAAATGGTGTGCGCATGTGATATTGAAGGAAAAAAAAAAAAAAATCTGAAATATTTCAGATTTTAAATTACGTCCAAAGGGGCGTTTTTTAACATTTTGTGTTGTTACCTTTCTTTATTAAATATCATTTTCTTCGCGCACTTAAACCATAAGATCCAGTGCAACAGCAATATCGCAAAATAGTTTTAAAACGAGCATATCTTTAGAATTTCCGATACAGAGACTCACGCGCTGGAGATAAAAATGTTTTTTTCTGCACAACGTTGCCATTGCTCGCTTTGAAATCCTTGAATTTGTTAATCAAAAATTCGTCAAAGTTTTAAAAAATAGGAAATCGATCATAAAACAATTTCAAATTTCAAATTTGGTCTTCCACATGCTCATATTCGTTGGAGGAGATACGTTATTCAAAATTCGATGACTCTATGTACCGTTGTTTTATCACAATACGAGAAATATACATACATTTATGCAGATTTTTCATTATTTAATTTCTTCAAATATAATGCAGGACTCTAACATTTTGTGGCAACAGTTTGAAAAGTGAACCGACATTTATGAGTCCGACGCAAAATGCCAAAACGAAACTAATAGTCTTTCGGAATTCAAATCCCTTTGGACTAAAAAAAAAAAATAGGCTCAACTAATTTTGGGTAAATACAACTGCTTTCATAAATAAACTTAATATGAGTCTTTAAGACCAAAAGTCACCAAGTTATATTTCAACGAATGACAGTATGAAATAGTGGCCGTCTCACATTAGTAACAATAACTTAAATAACTCTAGAATTTTCTGTGGCCAGAGCCATGAAAATGAAGAAAACTATTCAGCACTAATTTACGTTTTGTCAGAATTTAGTAGATTTCAAGATTACGGAAAAAATAAAAAAAGAAACAAATCTGATGCGGACGTCACAAGACTTCGTTGTATGCAATATTGAATTATACGCATTTTTTTGCTGCATTTTATTTAAACTTATTTCCTTGAGTTTTATTACAGATATATTTCTCATTCAATTAATTCAGTTCTCCCTTCGCGACGAGGCAAGAATGCATAAAACCTTAAAATATCTTTATTAAAATTTGAAAAATATAGAAAAGTATAAAAGGCAAATATAGTTAAAACAAAAGAAAAATTTAAGATAAAGATTTAAATTAAAGAAAACTTTTACAATTAAAATTAGAATTTTTATGCAAAAACAAACAGTTCGGCCAGCAAGCAAGAAGGCAAGTTTTTCGATGGACAAAACTTAAAGTTTCGTTTTGGTCCCACTCTGCAAAAAGACACTGAAGCTGCAGAAAGGGTTAATTCACTGTTCTGCAAAGTTTCAAATATAAACAAATATGGCCGCTATAGTAAAAAAAATTAGACCTAGACGCACTTAAACAACTTTAAAATTGTTGATAATCCTACAACTATTGCATGCAGATTAACTAAAGGCATAAAAACCTTAAGCGGAAGATAAGGACAACATAATTCAATCATTTTTAAAGCAAAAAATACGCAATTTACGAACACATAAAAACAAAAAGAACTGACCTCACTCAGCCAAGTAGTAGAGTGGGTATATATATATATATATAATATAATGTCGTATGATCTTAAAATTCACTATTTATATACTTTTGGTGCGGCCGATGCAACCAAAAGGGGAGGGGCAAAACTAAATGTTATAGCAGTCCTATGTACCAAAGTTCAGAGTTCTGAAGCTACTCCTTTCTGAGTTATATATATATATATATATATATATATATGTGCGTAATAATAAAATTCCATAATCAAGAATACACTTAAAATTCTAACTGTATGTTCTTTTCATTTTTAATGGCGACGTTCTCTTATTTGAAAATACGTGGAATTCGAAAATTAGTTATTAATTTGCATATTGAACGTGGAAAATCTATTAGAGAAACTGCTGAAACAGTTAATTTCAGTCATTCAACAGTTTTCAATATCATTAAACGATATAAAAAGAATCATATGATTCAGAATAAAAGAAGACCTGGCCGACCATCAAAGCTATGCAATGGAATAAAGCGAATTATTGTTCAAAATATTAAAAAAATCCAAGAATGAGTGCTCCTAAAGTTGCTGCTGATTTACAAGCATTATATGGAGTAATTGTTAATTCTGAGACTATTAGAAGGGTAATCGATCTGCTGGATATCACGATAGAGCAGCCAGGAAAAAATTCTTCGTAAGTGAAAAGAATAGAAAACTCAGACTGGCTTTCGAAAAATCCAACATAAATAAGAACTCTGATTACTGGAATGAAGTTATATTTGCTGATGAGAGTAAATTTAATATATTTGGTTCTGACGGTAGAACCTTGGTGTAGAGAAAACCCAGGAAAGAATTTCGCAAACAGAACTTGGTGCCAACAGTAAAACATAGTGGAGGAGGCGTTATGGTATGGCGTATATGTCGTCCTCTGGAGTTGGTAATCTTGTTTTTATTGACAGTATAATGGATCAGTACAAGTATACTTTTATTTTAAATCAAAATTTTGAAATCTTCAGCACGAAAATTGAACCTTCATAACGATTTTAAATTCTACCAGGACAATGACCCCAAGCACACTGCTTTGAACGTTAGACTCTGGCTGCTGTATAACTATCCTGAAATAATAAAAACCACACACCAGACTTAAATCCCATAGAGAATATTTGGCAAGAATTTGAATCAAGAATTCGCAAACACACCATTTCTTCAAAACAACAATACAAGTACACTCTTTCGGATATGTATTTGAAACCTATCGCTGCATAATATTTCGGGGAATCCCCGTATGCTGCGAGCGATTTCGTGGAATCCCCGGGTTGAAATAAAAGAGCGCTAAACCGAAACAGCGCTAAACGAAACAGCGTTAAGCGGGGTCTTACTGTATTTTTCGAGGTTGTAAAACGTAAAGAGTTTCTGTAGTTTCAAAAACGATTTACAAGAAAATAAAGGTGACATGTTATATAAAGAACTATGAATATTTTGGAGCATTTGTTTGGGTGAAGAGATTAAATTAACTTATAAAGTCTGGTTCTCTTAGGAAGCCTAGACTTTAAAATGTCTATTGAAAAACTTACAAGAAAATAAATTATCCAAGAAAATAATAGTCTTAAAAATGCCTATTGAAAAATTATCTTCTAACTTTGTGAAACAAAACAAAAGTCTAAAGTATGGTGCGTAACACCCTTTGATTCGTACACAAACTTAACAGTTAGCGTCATTTTAAGTCCAATGTCTTGATAATTCTATAACTATTGCATCTAACTTCTATAATATCTAATGTCTTCATAATTCTATAATTCTATAACCATAATTCTATAACTATTGATAATTCTATAACTAAGTAAAGATAAAGAAACCTTAACTAGAACATACAGTGTCTCACAAAAGTGATGGGACACTTGTGCTTTACAAAAAAGAAACTGTAATAAAATAAATTTAAAAAACATGTAAAAATATTTTATGGGTGTGTTTCATACTTAAATTTAGTAACAATTATTACGTAACATACATTTTCTCAAAATATTAAAATAGTAATTTAATAAAAATACAATTGTTTAGAACGGAGCAAAGAATGGCTCACATAAGTGATGGGACACCATTAGATACTACTACGTACTACAATAAAAATATTTTTGGGAGTGTTTATTTTTACTCAAAAGCAATTGGCAATAATTTATAAAATCGTCTGCAGTCTTTGTCTCTAGTTTGTTTTGGAATTTTTGTGTTTTTTAGCTCTGTGCAGCTATGAATGCTAAACGAAAAGAAACTTTGCCTGAAATTCGAAAATTAGTTATTAATTTGCATATTGAAAGTGGAAAATCTATTAGAGAAACTGCTGAAATAGTTAACATGAGTCATTCAACAGTTTTCAAGATCATTAAACGATATAAAAAGAATCATATGATTCAGAATAAAAGAAGACCTGGCCGACCATCAAAGCTATCCAATGGAATAAAGCGAATTATCGTTCGAAATATTAAAAAAAATCCTAGAATGAGTGCTCCTAAAGTTGCTGCTGATTTACATGAATTATATGGAGTAATTGTTAATCCTGAGACTATTAGAAGAGTAATTCGATCTACTGGATATCACGATAGAGCAGCCAGGAAAAAATTGTTCGTAAGTGAAAATAGAAAACAGACTGGCTTTCGCAAAATCCAACATAAAAATAAGAATTCTGATTACTGGATTGAAGTTATATTTACTGATGAGAGTAAATTTAATATATTTGGTTCTGACGGTAGAATCTTGGTGTGGAGAAAACCCAAGGAAGAATTTCGTAAACAGAACTTGGTGCCAACAGTAAAACATGGTGGAGGAGGAGTTATGGTATGGGGGTGTATGTCGTCCGCAAAATTTGAAATCTTCAGTACGAAAATTGAACCTTCATAACGATTTTAAATTCTATCAGGACAATGACCCCACGCACACTGCTTTGAACGTTAGACTCTGGCTGCTGTATAACTGTCCTGAAATACTATAAAAACACCACCACAATCTCCAGACTTAAATCCCATAGAGTATATTTGGAAAGAATT